CTTCAATAAATAAAAGATCTCTTGAAAACATTTCTAACTATTAAAACACACCCGTAGATTAACATATTTTATTAATTGTTTGAAGCGGAAAGTATAAGGAAAAAAAGGGAATGGTTAAGTTCAAAGTTTTCGTTCAGAACCATAATGAATTGGGCTAAAATTGAGAAATTTGCAAATCAGTCCAATCCATTAAGCTCCATAGTAAAATGGATATTTTAATGAAGCTCAAGTTTGCTTAGTGGGCATTTCTTCCTGCAACCCCTCTTTTCTTCCAGCAATCCCATAAAACATGAAATTTAAAAATAAACATTAATTAAAAAAAAAAAAAAAAACATAAAAAAAATTAAAATAAATTTTTTCAGATTGGATGTTTCGAAAAATATTTTTGAATCTAAAAATATTTTTTTAAATACTTAATCCAGAATATATTTTTAACAGATTTCAAAATATGTATTTCGAAAGATATTTTTGAATTTGAAAATACTTTTCAAAATATTCAATTAAAAAAATATAAAAACTTTTAAATAGGGTGTTTCAGAAAAAAAAAATAGATTTGAAAATACCTGGTAGAACATCTAATTAAAAAAACATATTTTAAAATAAATATTCTAAAAAATATTTTTGAATTTGAAAATACAACTTTGGAAATATCCAATTTAAAAAATATTTTCTTTTAGTTTTAAAAATTGTTTTCTAAATATTTATTGGGGAATGGTCAATCTGGAACATTTGGACCCAACTATTTTCGTAGAAGAGTTAAAGCTTCTGAGCACAGTGTTGGGAATGGCCACAGGAACAACAATGTTGGAGGCAAAAAGAGATCCAAGAACATGAACGTTGGAGGGGTTTCACTTCAGAGACACGATATCAGTCCAACTATATAAAAGATTCTCTATCCAAAAGTCTTAAGACACTAATGAATCTTTAATCTTTATAGAGTATTCTACTTTCTTGTTTATATTCAATATAGGACTTAAACTAACAATTAGATTTTCAACAAAAAGTTGGCATCAAAGAGGGGTGGAAGGAGGTGAGAAGCCATGGTGGGCCAATTGATCCCAACAGCTGCAACCAGACAGCCGAAGTGGAAGTGGTGGTGACGAGGAAGGTGAGTAGAAGGAGGTAAGAAGTGGAAGGAATTTGGGTGGGTCTGAGTTCTGATGTTTGAGGAAGCTGGAATATAAGTAAAAATGCAATCTCTGTCACTATGAGTGACACCTTTGGTTGGGGGAGAAACAAGGTAAACATTGAGGGAAATATGATTTTAGGATTTTCAATATATTTTCAATGAAGGTAAAAACCAAAATATTAATTTAAATAAAAAGCATTTTAGTGGATTAACACCTTATTTTGCATTAACTTTTTAATTTGCTGACTATATAGATTGTTTTAAAGTTTACACCTTCGTATACATCTATAGAGAATATCTTTAAAAATGACATTTGTAATTTAATTTGATGAGTTTTGTTTACCATTTAAAAAGATAATATTTTCGGAAAATTAGGTTTTTACTCATATTTTAAAAAAAACATCTTCACGAAGGAGGTAATGCTCTAACGTTTTTAAATTTAAAATAAAAGGTTATTTAAAATTACCATATTTTTTTAATTAAATAATATAATATTAGTAACAACTTAAAAACTATAATAGAAGTATTAAAAAATTGATCGATAACTTTTTGTATGATGTTTTGAGTTATGCTTTTTTTTTTTTTTTTCATTTATAACACTTAAATTTGAGATGGGGACGTTATATCAGTTTTAGTTAGAGGGTGTGAGTTTGATCAAACTTTGAAAAGAGATCTTTATCATATAACACTTTCGATAACGAGGTTCAACTATTGAAATTAATATCATTTCTGAAAAGGAAGTTATTAACCATTGACTGTGAGGTGCAGCCATTGTCTGTTTTTTTTTTTTTTCTTTCTTTCTTTCTGACCTAAGTGTGAATGTAGACCTATAGAATGAGTGATGTACCAAACTTCACTTATGGCGCTTTGAATACTCTTCCCACGTGTTGAGATTTTCGTTGAAACTATAAATTCTATTTGGGCATTATAGTCATTTACTCTTCCTTTATTCAATGTTTTTCGAGTACATCAAAATTATATTAATTTTAGGGAAGCGAAGTTGAAAATAATATTCAACATAAGTTTCGTTAAAGGAAAATGACACTTGAACAACCATTTTTTACAACATTTAGACACGCGCACACGTGTCAAAATCTGAGTGGTCCAGTTGAAAAAATTATATGAAAATGGACCACTCAGATTTTGACACGTGTGCGCGTGTCTAAATGTTGTCAAAAATGATTGTTCAAGTATCATTTTCCTTCGTTAAAATATCATTAATATTTAGAAATATAAAATATTTTTATTTCCCTTTTCTCTGTGATAAAAAGTGTGCGTATATATATTATATTCTTAGGAAAAATACTTTCTACTAATAATTAGTTTATTAGCATGTTTTATAACCCAATTACAATTATTTTATAATTTTATTATTTTCGCAAAGTTTTTATTATTTTTTCAGTGTTTATGTATTTTTCATTTATTAAATGTCTAACAACGTGCTGCCATGTTATATTTTATTAAATGCATAATTATCAAAATGATATCACTTTACAAGAATAAATATAAAAAAACATCTTTTTTCACTATTTTTAATTTTTTTACATGTAACATGTCATTACACATTTAGCACACGAGTAAAAGGTAAAATAAAAAAAAGGATACTAAAATAGAATGAAAACACTTATATGGTAAATTTGGAAAATATATTTTATATGCAATTAAATCTATAAACTTTCTATCTTCACTTCATTTTTTATATATTTACTTTTTTCACGCATTTTCATTAAAAATACCTTTCAGATTATTAAATATCAATTAAGTATATTAATGGAAATAGTATTTTGAAACATGATTTTTTTTAAGAATGTGATTCCTTACAATATAGTATTATATTTAAAACAGACTTTCTATTTGAAATCGTGTATCGTAGGTCAACCACCGTACGATGAAGCCATAAATGGTGGTCCATGTTAAGAAACCAGGAATTGAGGAAAGCACAAAGGTTTAGTTTTCTCCAAGGTTGCAAGAAATGATGAACAAAACACTGGCTAATGGTTGTACAAAAAACGTTGAAAACAATATTGTAGCATATATAAAAACAACGATCGTAAATGTCAACCAAACTTTAATGAAGTTTTGTACGTTGGGCTTCACCTTCTCACCACCAACACGGACTCTGGCTACTTAGATGCCATCTTGTTGACCAAAAAACAAAAGTTAGATGCCATCTCCCACCTCTCAATTATTAGCGTTTTCTTTTATTTAATAAAATGGAGATAGTGTACATGTGCGCATGAAAGCATATTAATTATTAGCATAGAATAGAAATATTATCATAGAATAAATTCCTATTAAATATCAACTCTCCAGATCAAATAAAATCAAATAATGTGTATTACTTTCTACGGTGTTAATCCGCGTATTTTAAAACCATCAAGAAAAAATATTTCTATTATATTCCCATATGCGTTGAATTAGAGTGACAAAGAGATTCGGACATGATTTTTTTAGGGTAAACACCATGATAATGTTTATATTCCTGGGTGTTGTGGCTGACCAAAGTAGGCATTGACCTAACACAAGGAATCAAGTTGAGTAAGCTTTCTTACTTTTTTTTCTTCTTTATTGAAACTACACGCATTACTTTTTTCATCGTATTGGGAATCCACGTTAAAATTCAAAATTAAAGTTCCATTCAGTTGCGATCACCATCGATGGATGGTCAACCATTCACAAAAGGACAAAATGGAAAAGGTGAAGGGCGAAACTTCCGAGGAAATCGACATAACTTTATAATATATTTTATCAGTGGAATACACTCGGTGGTATCATGGTATACGTATACGGTAACTAATTAATGCCAAAGTCTACGGAAGTCAACAAGAAAATAGCCTCTTCACTTTTGAAGGAACAATCTTGATTTTCGTTAAACCTCAAAAGCCAAATTCAGAAAACTAATAAACATAAGTGATTTATAGTAGAACTCAAATAGCCAAATATTTGCATCAGTTTCCTTTCTGTGTGCTAAGCAGGACACTAAAGTCAAAACTCATCACAAACTTGTCGTAATAATAACAATGAAGTGGTAGATACGAAATAACATCTAAGTTGTTTTCAATATTAATACAGTATAGTTAGTGCATGAATGCGCTTGAAAATGACAAGATTCTACACACAAGTGCGGCCTTTACATAAACTAATGGTATGCTTAGCCAAAGAGAGAAATAAAGAAAAAACAAAACAAAAGAAGATAATAGCCAAAACAAAAAAATTAATTTTTTTCTATACTTCGTTGTCTTCCCCCACAGTTTCAACTTTCCAATAAAGTGAAAGTTGATGGGCATAGTTATGTTTAAAAGATAAATGAGATATTAAAATGAAAAAATAAATAATTTGTTTTCCCTCTCTTGATTGAGGAAAGTAGGAAAGTAGTAAGTAAAAACAGTAGATGCAATGGCGTTGACCGGGTTGGTTGCTTGGGGTGGGGAAATACTTGAAGACATTAATCTGTTTGTATAAAGGAAGTTGGTGCCTTGACGGTGATGATTTTTTTTCTGCATTTTAATTTAAATTTTGTATGGTGAAGATTGGTTGAATGGTTTGGGAATTTCCCTGGGGGCTTCCAAAGCAAGAAGTGGTGGGACACAGCATCCAGTCCTCCTTTGGAGCTTTACAGTGAGTAAACATTGTGTTTTGTCGCGGCACGCCTTTTTGTGTTATTATTAACAATAGTAATAAATAATGGCATCGGTGGAATAAAAAAGTGAGATTTCTAAACAACATTATTCTGGCCATTACTTCAATTTGCATGCAAAAGCAAAGTCCAACCAATATCCACGCTTCCATTGACGAAGCTTCGTTGACTTTCTCATCCACCCTCTCTTTTATAACCAACCCCCTTCCCCTCTTCTTTCTTCCATCCAAACCAAACCCACACAAAAAACCAAACCAACGCCAACGAAGTCTCTCTCTCTCCAACCCTCCATGGCAGTAGATCTGGCAGGTGTTGCCAAGATTAGGATGGAAGAACAGACAGCCATCGAAGAAGCAGCTTCCGCTGGATTGAAAAGTATGGAGCATCTCATTCGTGTTCTTTCCTCCCAAATCCCTTCCTCTTCTGCTTCTGCCTCTGCCTCTGCCTCCTCCTCTTCTTCCACACACCACCACCGTCTTAATCTCAACCACCTTGACTGCACCGAAATCACCGACTTCACTGTCTCCAAGTTCAAACAAGTCATCAACTTGTTGAATCGCACTGGTCACGCTCGCTTTCGCCGCGCACCTTCTCATTCCTCCCCCTCCCCCTCTCTTCCTTCTCCGCCGCAGCCACACGCTCAAAAACTCACTCTTCATTTTGCAAACCCCAAGGTCAAGTCAAATCCCAATCCCAACCCCAACCCTTCTTTCACGGATTTGTCGGTTTCTCAATATTCCAAGACCAAAGACACCACCTTTAGCATATCCCCTCCCATCTCCACCACCACCTCCTCCTTCATGTCCTCTGTCACGGCAGACGGCAGCGTTTCCGACGGCAAGATCGGCCCCGCCATCCTCGCCTCCGGGAAGCCTCCTCTCTCCTCATCCCACCGTAAAAGGTGTCACGACGCCACCCTCTCGGCCGGGAAAACCTCATCCTCCGCCCACTGTCATTGCTCCAAGAGAAGGTAAAATTCATTTCACATCCGCTTCAATCAATTTCAAACTAAAGGAAAAATTAATTTTTTTCGCCTTTCAACAGGAAATCTCGTATGAAACGAATGATTCGAGTGCCGGCGATAAGTTCGAAGATCGCCGATATCCCTGCGGATGAGTACTCGTGGAGAAAGTATGGTCAAAAACCCATCAAGGGGTCACCCTACCCACGGTATTTTTCTATTCTTATCCTTCTGTAGAATTGAATCCGTCAAAGTCAAACATTAGTTTCCACGCCTTTGAACTTTGGAACCCTCGAATGATAGTATTATTTTATTTCTAAGTTTGTCGGAGATTAATTAATTTGTTTTTGGTAATGGCAGAGGGTACTACAAGTGCAGTAGCGTGCGAGGGTGTCCGGCCAGAAAGCACGTGGAGCGAGCCCAGGATGACCCTAACATGCTCATCGTTACCTACGAGGGAGAGCACCGTCATCCGCAGCCGCGTCTGCCGGAAGCTGGCGTGCCCGGCCCCGTGGCTTTCGGTGCTCAGGCTGTTTAAGCGACGGGTAGATCGAGAAAGTGTGAGACCGACAGTGATGAGTGATAAGCGCTGTTTGCAATTAACTGAGGAAGTTGTAACGGTGTGTTGTAACAGTGAGAGAAAAAGAAAGGAAGTTCTTGCAAGCAAGGGAAAGTAAAGAAAAGAAGCAAAGTCAACTTTTGCTTTGTTGGTTGTGACCTTTGTGGACCAGAAGAGTCCTCTACCAGAGGATAAGCACTTTTGTGTAAATTTGACAAAAAATTATGAAATATACTTGTTTTTTTTAATCTTTTGAATTTAATTAATCGACATAGTTTATGCGCTCTGGACCAATGAAGAAATTATTCTTAATATTCATAAAAATGGAATTTTTTTAATTGTATTTAGAAAATAGTATTATTATATTGTAGGGTAGGTGCGTGATGTAATGTAATGAAACCCAAGTTGAAAGAAAAGTATAGATTCGATTGGGTTGAAAAGGAGGACGGGGATGAAAGAAAAAGTCAAAGGTGAAGTGAGAAAAGGAGAATCCGTGTAACTCGTTTGTGGAGTATGGTGCCACTGGGTCCCACACCACCAGATTCCAATCTAAGTCTTCTGCTTTCCTTCATTTCAAGATATTTCATTCAAATATAACAAAACAAATATCAGGGATAAATATGTTTTTCTTCGAATAAGTTTTTTCATTTTTGGTTTTTTATTTAGTTTTTATTCTTTAATAAATTATGTCAATTTAAGTTATTTAACCATTTTTTTAGGTAATTTCTTTTCTGAACATTTAATTTGAATATTGAAAATAGTATCATGCATTATATGAATTTTGCTATTTTCTTTTTCGTTTTTTAAGTATAAAAAAGGAGCTGTTAAATATGACATTTAAACATAAAAAAAATTAAAATAACGCGTTTTCAAAAAATATTAAACTCATTGTTTCGAAATATTTTATTCATTTCGAATTAAAATATCTTATGAATAAAATATAGTTTCAAAAATAATATATATATATATATATATATATATATATATATATAGTATAACTAATTCATGCGAAAATATACAATGTTAGAAAATACACAATATAAAAAAGACGAATTTTAACCTTTTTTTTATTCAAATATATTTTCCGTCCTGTATTGAAAATATATTTTTTTTTTACAGTGAAAACTTTACTTTTGTCGAGTTATAAATATTTCCAGTAACAAATTAGGTATTTTTTAAGTTAAAACTAGTTTTAAACGCTTATTTACATACAAGTTGATGTTTGTGTATTTGTTTATAAAGAGATTTAGATGTTCAAGAAAAAATAATAAAAACTTTTAAATTTATAATTATGTTTTTTTAAGTATAATAAAAGTGAAAATTGATTTGTAGGTTTAAAAAATTAATATATTTGTAAAATTTATAGTTATGTTTTAAGTATAATCAACGTGACGTGTAAAGGTTCGTTTGATGTATATTATTAGACCCTTCTATTTAATACATCGACAAACTCATCTAATATGTATTGTTAGACTAGTCTAATCAATATATAAATATACTTGTATAATGTGTATGACTAGACTTGTCTAATGAGTGTATGTTCAAATTCTTGTAATAAGTATTGTCATACTCATTTAATCAATGAATGGACAAACTCGTTTAATATGTATTAATAGACTTACCTAATCTATACAGACTTTCGATATACTTGTCTAATGTCTTTTGATATACTTGTCTAATAATTGTGTGGATAGACTCGTCTAATATGTATTATTACATTAGTATAATAAGTGTATTGACAAACTTGTTTAATATTTTCTGCTGTACTCATGTATTTAGTGTATACTTATACTCGTCTAATCAATATATAGAATGACTCATCTAATATTTTTTGTAATACTCATAAGTTAGTTTATGGATAGACTTGTTTATAATGTATTGTTAGACTCCCCTAAAGGTTTTTGTTATATTCTTCTAATCCGTGTATACATAGATTCGTCTAATGTGAATATAGTTAAACTCATTTAATGTTTTTTTTCCTACATTTATCTAATGCATTATTAGATCAATTTAATAAATGTACGTCTAACATATATTTTTATACTCATATAATGACAATATAAATACATTGGTAGTGTATTTTAAAACAATTATTTTATTAGTTTTTTACTCTTATTTTGATCTTCAAAATTTACATTTTCAAGTTAAAATATTAAAAAATAAATTCAAAAATATATAAAAAGTTTATAATATTAAAAAGTGTGATTTTCGGTTTACACATATAACCTTAGTATTTTAATTTAAAATATAATTATTTAAAATCTTATATCAATTTATAGGTGCAATTATTAATACTAGTTCTTTTTATTATTAAATAATATGAATTTAAGTTTTACATACTAAAATTATAGGAAATATTCAACAATAAGAATGTTTATATTATAATTTAATATGAAAAAGATATATATATATATATATATATATATATATATATATATATTGTTGTCAATTCTGTGAAGACAAAATTATTACCTAACAAATTCTTTTATATGACACAGTAAACAATTTGATTTATCAATAAATATATATTTTTTTATTAATATTATTTTAAGAAATAGAAGTAATATATACTTTTCTAAATTTAATTTTATGAAATGACTAAGTAATAAAAAACCATAAAGAAAAAAATATGAAAATAAATAGTATAAAAAAATTAATAAATATAAGTTACTTTTGTCTAATATTTTTGTTATATTCATATGTGGTTAAATTGATCTAAAATATATTTATAATATATATACTTAGATATAATAACAAAATATAAATACATTAGTAATATATTTTTATAACAATTAGTTTAATAGTTTTTACTTTTTGGTTTAATCTTATCAAAGTCACAAATTCTAACAATTTAAAAAAAGTTTGAAATAGTAACATATAAATTCAATGTATAGTATTAAGAAATTTGATTTTTTTTATTATAAATATACATTTTAAAACTTTGAAATGAACTATTAAATAAAATCTTTTAAATTTACTCTGTAACAAAAATAATATTTAAAATATTATATGAGTTCTATGTATATATTATTTATGATAATTTTTATTAAATAATATTAATTTGATTTTTACATAACAAAAATATGAAAAATATTCAACAATAATAATATTTATGTAATAATCTAACATAAAAAAAATATAATTTTTTATTCATAATTGTTTGTGAGGTAAAATTATTACATGTCAAATTTTTTACTGTAAATAATTTATATTATTAAAAAGTGTATATTATTTATGAAATTGATATAGAGATTTTAAATTTGAAAAATATTTAAGAAGTAAGATAATCATTAGAAATTAAATGATAAATTTGAAATATATTTCAATTTTATTATAAATCAGTTGAAAAAAATGAAATTGATAAAAGTAAAATATATTTTTTTAAATTTAATTTTGTTAAATGATTAAATAATTAAAAATCATAAAAGATAGTTTTTGGAAAAACTGCCAAAATAATTCGGCTCGACCTGCCAACCCACCATGGGTTAGTCATTTAATGAGTCAATCCAACTTGACTCACTTATTAGCGAGCTAAAAAAATTCAAACCCGACTCGATCCATTACGGGTTGATGGGTTAAATGGGTTGACGCACTTAATTATAAGTTTTTTTTTAAATAAAAAGAATTATATATTTTTTAATTCAAATCTAAATAAATTTCACTCTAAAATGGTGTTAAACTCCAAAGACAATTCAAAATAAATAAAAAAGTATCATACAATCCCAGCGTAATCCAAAATCAACCAGACGAACAAATAAGTTTTGAATATTAATAATTTTTTTATCGCTTGTCCATTTATAACATTAGAATCTTGAATAGATAAATGTATAATATTTTTCTCTCTTGAAACATCTTTTTTTTATCCCCATCTATAATATAATAAAAAATGCTAACTAATAATTTTGAAATATAAAATAATAAATAATTAAATTAAATTAGGTGGGTTGGTGAGCTGGGTTCTAAGTGAGTTGAGTTGAAAACTAACCCGCATAAAAAATTACATTTTCTTCAAATCCAACCCGGCTCAAACCTGTGGTGGGCCGGTTGACTCGCGGGTTACAACCTATTTTAACAGCACTAGTTTATCGACACTTGTCAATATAACATTTTATATTGATAGTTTTAACACTAGTTAGGACATTATCACATGTTCAATAATCAAGAACAGTTAACTAAAAAACATAAAATTTCAATTTATAGTCATATAAACATAACCATATACTCAAAACTTTGTACACCACGAGCATCAAGAAACTACTAGATTGTATTCATAAGATTAATTGGCCAATGACTCAATTCATACAAACCAACTACCTTTGTAACCCTAAATAGTTTTAAGCATACTAAATACCCAATCTCAATAAGACAAGTGGCTAACTAAATCCTAAATGACCTAAAAACAGACTCCAAACATCATGTTCATTCAATATATCATTCCCACAAAATATCACATGTCAAAACCTCCCCATTTAAACCAAAAACTAGTGTCGTCAAAATGGGTTGAAACCGATGAGCCAACCCGGCTCACCACGGGTTTGAGCCGAGTTTGGTTGAAAAAAATGTGAAAATTTTGATGCGAGTCAATTTTAACCCAGCTTGCTAAGAACCCGGCTCGCTCGAGTTGAACCCGTGGTGAGCCGAGTTGGCTCACCAACCCACCTATTTTTCTTATTGAAATCAAATTAATTAAATTAATTATTCAAATCCTATTTTTTTTTATTGAAATCAAATTAATTAAATTAATTATTCAAAACGCACAACCTTTACTTCGTAGTAGAGCTTTTCATGTTGCGTTGTGTTGTTGTCTATCCAAAAGTTCCCCTTTGCTATATATTTTTGTTAACGGCTATATGTAGTTTCTTGGTCAAACGGTTGTGTATGTCTCATTAAACTAAATTGGCAAAATTTTATGCTTGATAGCTTAGAATATATAACAATAGAGTTCTTTTGTTTAATTTTCTTTTATATCAATTGATCCAATTATTACTGTTTCAATTTGATCGATCAAAGTAACATGTTATAAGAATCTCAGAAGAAGAGGGTGAACAAAAGTTAAGTGAGCCAATGAGCCAACCCATTTAACCCACCAACCCGTGGTGGATCGGGTCGGGTTCAAATTTTTTTGACTCGCTAATAAATGAGCCGGGTTGGGTTGGCTCACTAAGTGACCAACCCATGGTGGGTCGGGTTGGGTCAGGTTGGATTATCCGTTTTGACAGTTCTACCAAAAACAAAAGAAAGGATAGATGATACTTAGAGAAACGATAAGGCTTTGTTTAACTTGAATGAATTTGAGGGAGAGTGATTGAATGAATTTGAGAGGATTTGAAGGTAAATTTTTTGTTGTTTATTTGAGTGGATTTGGAGGTAAGTGAGAGTGGATTTGGAAGTAAAGTTTGTGAGAATTAGTGTAGCATTTGATTGACGTGATAGATTAAA